TTACCTTGTGACTAAGGAAGGGATATATTATTAAAAAAGTAAGAAGAGAAAACAAGACAAAATTAGAGAAAACAATCGTAAAAAAAAGGAAACAGTTGCGCGCTATCAGACACCCCTGATTATACAGAAAAATCAAAACAGAAAATCTGCTCATGCTAAATAAATATGACAAGGATTTAAAGAAATAGAATTATATGTAGAGACGCCGTTCGATAATGGAAGATGTCAAAAGGTTAATACGTGACACGTGATTAAGACCAAAATCAACATGTGACACGTGAATTTAATTTGAAAGGCAACGTGATTTGTGAATTTATGAACTGGTATATCCTGAAATATACGCGACCCGTGAAGTTTCTTCTTTCATTTCGAGTAAACGTCAAGTTTTCCCTGAAAGCTCGCACACAAGAAAATTTGAAGTTTCGCCTCGAAGTGATGTGTGAAACGGGATTACGGCCCTTCCCCTTCTTAACCATCCAATCAAATGCCACCGGAAACACGTGCTGGTGTAACTTCTCACACGTGCGTGACGGTATATATAGCTTCGTAACAGAATAAAATTAATGTGAATATGAAAGTGATCTTCGCAGTTATGAACACTACTTAAGAAGAAGTGAAAAGAATAAAAGTGAGGCAAAAAGAAAAAAGTCGTTCTTCTATCGAAATCCAATTAACAACGTTGCATAAGATTTCGGATATCACCCAACAAGTCAAAAGGCTTTGTACTGGGAAGGTAACGCTTCACAGGAAATCCATTATGATCGACCAAGAACTTCTCGAAGTTCCAAGAGATGTCCTCACTTCTCACCGGAGTCCATGAAACAGCTACATAGCGACTGATTACTCCTCCTGGAAGGGGACAGAGCGACTACAAGAAGAAGTTACAACCAGTTTTAACATATCATTTTTTCCCGCGCCCCTCCTCTTACGTGAGACTCATCTTACGCGCTCGCTTTACGGCTTGCCCTGGCTTGTCAAATAGTAACAATAACAACAATTATTAAAAGCAAAAAAAAAAAACATTGGTGACAGACCCCCAGACTTAGTTAACTAGTTCTGCTAATGGACGAGATTGAAATTCCACTCTCTGTCTTGCGCACTGATATTATGAAAATACCCGTTCTCGTTGTGAATAAATATTCTCCATACTTCTTCAGGGTTAAAGGGAACATTTGCGAAATCGGAGTTAGGTGATGTATCTTGCCGTTACACGACCCGCCTTGTGACTGAAGGAGGCTCTCAGTCTACACGATAGCTTCCGGATTAAATAAGTTCCCTTCCCGCCAGTCCCGAAGATAGGGGCGATTTAAATTTGGACAGAACCGAGCGCGAAAGTGCACAGGGCACTGGGCTTACACGATTCTTTCCATTTCAGAACCTCACCCCGAAGAGTTAATTCAATATTCAGTCCAGCGGTGAGCTGGCGGCTTAAGTCCAGTCGCGGACGGGGTTCCCAAGTATTTTTTTTTTGCTCTAAGACCTCGGCTGAATGGAAGTTTCGACAACCTGGAAGACTTACCCTTGATTTTGGTGGTAAGGGTAATTGCAGGTGTTCGCATAATTGTACACATAGTTCGGTTTTAGCTGCCTTAAGGACCAAAAGTAAAATGACATCAGATTGAAACAACTTAAAAAGGCAGGCTAAGATGGGCTTATGCCCCATTCACGCCAAAGAATAAACGGGTTTTATAGCTGTTTTTTTAAACACGGTTCAATAATGTTTTCTTCATAGAGCCTGCTTATACCAATGTTTGTTGACTTCAGATCTAGCACATATGAAATGAAAAGGAAGTGACTACTAAAAACATGGAAAATTCAGTTTTTCCGCAAGGTTTATTTCTGATTTTAACTCATTTAAACCTGGTTTAACTGAACATGTTTTGCAGGTGTGAATGGGGTATAAGCTTGGAGAGAGAAGCCCCTGAAAATCAGTGGAAAGGTCTAATATATAGATTTAGCCAAGCCTAAAAGCGGAGCTCTTATTAGTTTATTTTCCAGCCCTACGTTACACTGAATAAAAACTGTGGAAAGGTCTATAAATTACTCTTACCCGTGACTATAATTACGTAAGGTCACATTTATTACGTAATCTCATACTGATATGGACGGTAGCCCTAAAGATATTAAAATCTAGAAATCCTCGAGTTAAACTTATTAAAGAGCAGAAGTTACCTTTAAATAGGTGTAGATCGGGTCTTCCCATGCGCCGTTGACTCGGATTTTCTGAAAAAGTGGAAAATTCGGAACAAATCCATTGCCAGGCCGGACCCATTTCAACCCGTTCATAATCTCCTTCTCGTTCGCTCCTGGTTCTTGGTTTAGGAACTGATTACAAGGAAAAGCCAAAATATTCAAACCACACCGGTAGTTTTTTTGGTTAAGTTCTTTCATGAGTGCATTTAAGTGAGGGTACTGCGCAGCGAATCCTCAGTAGGTAGCTACGTTTAGCGCCAGGGTGACGTTCCCAGCGTACTTGCGTAGCAAGGTTGCTGTGCCGTTCAGATATTTTGTGCGAAAGTCGAACAGCGACCGGTTTCTACTTCGAGTACAAGAAGTCGAGGTCTCCCTTACTGCTTCAGCTGAAAAACCAGCAAAGAAGTACAAAAGACAAGCAAGCAAAGAAGCGCGCGCCATTGTGAACAACAACGCGCCACCGACAGCTACTATTTGAAGCAGCGCATGGCTTAACGTAATTTGAAACCGCACGCACTTCAAGATGGAACAAAGGGATTCTTATAAACATTCTATTGGGCGAGAGAGGGGACCGCAAGGAGGAGAAATGTGTCTAGCTAAGCTACGTAAGGATGCGTTGCTGTGAAATTAATTTCATCGACGGTCCTGTGATGATATCTTTTCTTTTTCCGCAAGTTTGAGCTCGCTTTTTCCGCTCTTTCTTGGCAAAGCTACCCAGAGAAAAGAAGTGCAAAAATATGACATCATCCTCCCCAGGGGAGTCCCACGTTATAACAGTCACAAAGGAAATATGAGTACCTGGAGGATCCATTTTAGATGGCGAGATGTCCTGAAAAGGCTTGAAACAAAGTCACTGAAGTCCTTCATGCAAGAGAGTTTAATTTTGATCCAATTTCGAAAATCCCTTTGCGGAACGAAGGGTGCAATAAGTTACTACACCTTATCTAGTGGATTGTTTCTAAAGTATCAATAAAATTAACATATTCACCGCTCCCTCTCCTCTCTGCTGTGTTCGCTTAATTTGTTGTGGTTAATGTGTAAGCTTATAATCAGATAAAATGACTTTAAAACCTGCAATAGCTTCCAATTACCTATTGTGTAATCAGAACAAGGACAGCGTACACATTGTTTTCGGATAGCTCTCCTGTCTTGTAGAATCGTAAGTAATGTGTATTATTCTTGCCTTCTAAAGATATTTAGACTACAAGACCGAAAGTTACAAAGGACATGCACTTTTTTAGGGTTACGTACACTCTTCTTATCATTGAAGCAACATCAGAGACAAACTTCAGGAGAACGTACAGACACACCGTGAGGTATATTTTGTTGCTTTTTTCTCTCTGTACTAGCTATAGTTTGGTGTTGGTTGTATGTGTTGGTACGTTTGCTTATCACAGTCTGCTTTTCTTGACTTTTCAGTGTATAACACAACGAAAGGTCCAACAATTTGAATCAAAGGTAATTCGGATTTCAATTAACTTTACCTTTAGTTGTAGACATGTATCGATTTCCCTTTTTAAACGTAGAATATGAAATCATTTCCCGGCGGAAATTGGTGGAAAACTGTTGATCTGTCTGTTCTTCTAAAACTAAACATAAGAAAAAAAGATCAGAAGACGAGGGCAGCTGTTAGCCAGACCACTCCTCCTTCTTTAAGTGGTTCCGATATATTCGTTTTTCCTAAAATCACCTCTTCCGTCACGTCACTCCTTTTTTAAATCTGCAGTGCCAGTACTGTATGATTTGTAGGTAAACACTACTCAGTCTTTCCACTTCGGCGAAATTAGGGCAGTCATTTTGCAAGCTAAGTTGTATGGGAGAGTCTTGGATGAATTAACTTTAAAACAACGGTACAGTTGAAGTTTGAAGTTATTTGTTCATATCATTGCATAATATAGGTCACTAATTAACACCGTGATGCTCTATGTCATCATTTTACATTCTCATTTGAGCACCTTTTTTTTTTTCGTTATCCAATTTGCGGCGCTATAAATGAACCTGTAAAACCTTTCGACCCAAGGCAAGATTCAGTTTGCCAAACTGTGTAGCGAACTACAATGTAATTCTTAGCAGTAGCAGTTAGTTCCAGACGAACTCAGCAGTATGTCCTCTTCAGTAAGTATATACGAGTTTATCTTACGTCTACATAAATGTGTGTTGTGATGACATCGATCGTCTGGGATGCGCTTGAGTCACGCTAGGTCATTTTACCTCGTCGGAACTACTTAACAGCACAACGGATTTGGTTTTTTCGTTTGTTTTTGTTTTTGTTTATTTGTTTTGTTTTGTTTTTTTTTTCAAAGCAAATGACTAATAAAAACTGGAAAGTGAAGAGCTGTTTACGAATGAGGTCATAAAAACATACTCATTTTATGGGGAAGGTGCTTTCGTCAATGAAAACTAAGCATTTGATCTTATCTTTATGTAAAACGAGGCAGACGAGGCAGGGTTGGCTGTCAACATATTATTAAGTGAACTTCACCAAAGGGTTAAAAGCTTTTGTCTGTCGCAATTGCTTGAAGGGGCATCATGGGGTGGCGGTCCTAGTGTTTATTGAACGATTCGCTTTGACTTGAACTGCATTCGCTTTGGGACGTATCGAGACATAGCGAGTCTATAGCGTAGGCGTGCTTGGGCAGACATTTCATTCAACAGCTGAAACAATTATGGTGTGATAAAGAGTTTTAATAGATAGTCGATTCGTTACCTTGAGTTAAATTACACTGCTCACTCCAGGATATAGATTATTCTCCGTGCCACAGAGTGCCACAATCGTCTTGCGGCGTTGGAATTGTAAACACGAAAGTGTAGGTAATTTTTTTTTTTTGCACTTTCTTTCCTTTTATTTGCAAGATAGCTCTGACTTAGTTCTTAATTTAACTACATGGATGCTGAAATGCTGACAGCCAGCGGCGAGGACTGGTTCCCGCTTTTTAAATTTAATTTTTCATGCTGATGGCGTTTCTACATCATTGCAATAATAGAATGTAACTCAGTCTTTTTCGCGAAATGCTTCTTGGGATCTGCTTCGCTCAAAGAATAATGTTACATGTGAACAATCTCATCGATCAAAAGAAACAATTGGCACAAAGAGGAAAAAAACATTTCCACAGCAGGAGATAAATTGGAGTAATATATCTGGCTAGAGGGCTCATAATTTTACGGGATAAAAATACTGATCGAAGCGTCCCCAATGCAGCTAAGTCATCTCTGTCTGTCGTTCAGACGAGGAAAGGAATTTGGCAAAATTTTAAAGGCAAATGGTTAGACTTTTTCTTCCTATCTATCCACCTTCCCTTTCTCGTGATTGCCTCCGAGTTTCTTTCCCCTCTCGGCCAGATTTCATTTTTTTAACTCGATGTGTGGTTTGACCCGCGTCATTTTCATGATATCTCATTTCATTTTCTTAATGCGCACCTTGAGTTCTTTACTATCGCGATTTTTATTCTTGGTCGTTTGTTTAATTAGTCTTTTTATCGTTGCCACATTTATCATTTTAAAATGTACCTAAGTCAGTAACTCCATCTGAATATTAAGGGAAAAAAAACGTCGCTACAGGTGCTGTGACTCATCAGGACAACATAAGCGGTGATAATGCAATAACTCCGGTAAGGGTTAGCTAGCCGAGAGGCACTCTAAACCTTTGAGGTGATTCACACCGCTCACTCTAGGATACAGATTATTCACCGCACCACAGAGTGCCACAATCGTCTTGCGGCCATGGAATTGTTTGCACAAAAATGAAGGTAACGGTTTTTTTTAACTTTCTTTTCTTTAATTTGCAGGGTAGCTCTGACTTAGTTCTAGATTTAACTACATTAATGCTGAAATGCTAACAATTAGGCGAGGACTAGTTCCTGCTTTTTAAATTTATTTTTTCATGCTGATGGCGTTTCTACATCATTGCAATTAGAATGTAACACAGTCTTTTTCTCGAAGTGTTCTTTGGGATCTGCTTCGCTCACAGAATAATGTTACGTTTGAACAATCTAATCAAAAGAAACAAGTCGTGTATAAAAAGCCCTACTGACACGTAATAAGAGTTAACTTAGAATGAGAGGTTGTCGATTCTCATGGAAGCATGTGTTTTTTTGAAATGCTTAAAACTGAAACAAAGAGGAAAAAAATTGATAAAAATTTCATTCGAGGTTAAATTGGACTAATGTTTGGCTGGAGAGCTCACAATTTTGCGAGATAAAGATACTAGTCAAAGCGTTCGTGATGACGCTGAGTCATCTCTGTCTTTGTTTGGAAGCCTGGCATATCAACTCCGCCCACGCTCCTATAAATCGTGATGATGGCGGCTTACTTCCTGACGCTTATTTACACTTCGTCAGAAAAAAAGGTCAGCCAATCATGAGCATATAAAAGGACCTCTTGTTGCAGCGTTTAGATCACCCCTGATGAAGGAACTAGACAGGAGTGTCAAAACGTTGGGTCTACGAATTGTATCTTCTCAGTTGCATTCATCAGATCTTTAAGCCAGAGTAGCATCAAACTATGTCTCATCTCTGTCTGTTGATCGGATGAGGGAAGGACTTTCGCCTATTTTCTTCTTAATTACTTATGTTTTTGGAAACCTCGACATTTGGAAAAAATTTAGGGAGAAATGGTTCGGCTTTTGCTACCTTACTATCCACCTTCCCTTTTCTCGTGATTGCTCTGAGTTTCCTTCCCTTCTCGGCCAGATTTCATTTTTTGAACTCGATGTGTGGTTGGACTCGCGGCATTTTCATGATATCTCATTTCATTTTTCTGATGCGCACCTGCAGTTCTTTCCTATTGCGATTTTCATCCATGGTTGTTTGTTTATTTAGTCTCTCTATTATTTATCAATTTACCAAGTAGCTAAGTCTGATCAATAACTCCATATAAGGAAGCTTTCAAAAAAAACATCGTAACAGCTGCACTGACTCATCAGGACAACATAAGCAATGATGATGCAATTACACCAGTAAGGCATTCGAACTATCAGTTAGCTGACAGGCATCCTGATCGATCAAGCTAAGAAGAAAAGCTTCTTTTTAAAGAGTATCAGGAATTAAGCAACTTTTTTTAAACAAAATTCGGCCTTTCCCAGTCACGGATACTCATTGATGTCAACAACGCTTCTTTTATTACATATATAGTTTAATATAAAGCGAGCGAATGTAGTTGACTCGTTACTTATCCTTTGGCTAGAAGTAACGTGAACAAACCTCATTTTACAATTTTAACGTAATAGCGTTTCACGTTTAGGTCCCAAGACATCGACATAAGGATTAGAGACACCGACCACCGTTTAGCTAGTGATATTGTGTACATTACCTACACTGGCATGAAATATTCAACAATATCTGGAATTTTTAAAATGGTCTCTCGGCCTTCAAGGTAAATGGTTGTAATGTCTTCAAACTGATAAGTTGTCAACTCTATTTCAAAACGTACGTACGTCTGTTAATAGTTTCCACAGAACCAGGGCTAGAAGATATTGCGGTTTTTTTTTTCATCTTACAATTAATTTTATTGCAAGTCTCTTCATAAGAGAGAAATATTCTTAGCTCTCGCGACATCAACTCAAATACCACTTTCAATGTCGAAAGGTTTGATTGTCCAATTGTCCAGGAGTCCAAGCCGCCAATCAGTAAAAATCTCACATTCTATTGCAAAATTATGTCAAATGATACGTGACAAAGGCTGAAAAAGCTGTCAAATCAAAGCTAATAAACATTAAGGTTAAAATAAACATTTAAACTCAATCATAAACAAATTGAAGGAACTGGTAAGTTGCATAGAAAGGCTTCGTTATTGCGTAGTTGCTTGGCAGAAACCTGTGAACCAGTCTACACTTTCGGAGGTAAGAATTAAAACTGATGATTAAATGTAACAGTGGAAAAGGTTTAAGTGTGCACAAAAATCTAAGAAGAAGTCAAGACATTGAAGGCATTACGTAAAGAGGCTGGAGGTCAACACAGAAGCCTTCAGTAAGCTCATTGAGTCCTAAAGTTGCCGGATCTGGTCAGCCGTAGAATCACTAAATTTAGTAAACGCCATAAGCTGACCACAGTTTATATTCTCAGATGTTTCTTTTTTTTATGCATTACCGCAAAGTAAAACACCGAAAAAGGGCTTCAAAATATTTCCAAGGGTATACCGTTTTAGTGATTACTCAGAACAAACATTCCTCAGTTGTTGTTCACAGTTGTTAATAAGCTTACAGCTTAATGGAAAGCACTTGCGTAACAAATCGACACGAAATAGAATCTTGAAATTAGCCAACACCACCCAAACGAAAGGTGTGACAAATTGCTATTTATCACTGAGTTGTGACATTTGTATTTTCCATTTGTTCTGCTTTGTATTCGTTAAAAGTTTACCGGTTTGCGTGACTTTTAGTCTACACTCAGGCCTTGGAGTATTTCCAGTTTCTTGATAGCGCACACCGACAAGGCTTTTTTTTTCTTCAGTTGACATTTGCAAAGCTTTATGTGATGGGATATTCTCAATCGAAAGCTAAAAACCTGCCTGTTACAGATCATCTATCAAAAATAAAAACATGAAACAAAGCAGGTGAAAAAATGTTTCGTGCTGATTAAGAGACATGCTCCCGTGTTACAAGTTCAACAGCAGCAAATCAAACAAGTTTATCAAGCATATGTTTCATTGCAAAGCTATCACCTCCCAGTGAACTATCCTCTTATACTTGAGGATTGCGGTAGAGAATTTAATTTTAACTATATTTTCCTATCTTCTGATTCTTCGTTCATTTCCTTTTTATAAATTGTGTGACGGTTCAAGGTACTATACAGACAGATCTATTTATTTTCACATTACAATGCGAAGGAGGTGGAGTAGTTTGATTTATTGTTGAATCTTTAGAACTGAGGGGGAGTTGTGAGTACAACAGACATTTTAGGACACTGTAACATGAAAGTTCGGCTCGATCTCGTTTATTAGACAGCTTTGACAAATTGCAACTCACATTCTTGCAAGAATTTACATGGAAGTAATTGGAGAATACTTCTGACTTTTTGTCCCTCTTCCTCAGCCTAGGTCACTTGCAAATATCTTTCAATATAATTTAGCAAACCATCAAATGAAGGACGTACTTTGACAGTTAGAAAGACTTTTTGAATTAATGAATTACTTCATGGCTTCCCCTGTGGGATACAAAAAAAAAATTTTTCGAAGTTACCATTGTGATTCAAGTTTCGTATGAAGATGAAGGAAGGTTTATCTGAAATGCTCAGATCATTTGGTCATGAAGCATTGTCAATAATTATAATCTGTGTTAATCTCCATCAGTCTTATTCATGGATATCATTTCACTGCAAAATGATATAAATACGACCACCAAGGTTCTCAAACACAAAAGCTGTGAATTTAATACTCGAACAGTTAATAGTCAAAGCAGAACTACAGAGCTGTTAACAAGGCAGGGAAATTTCTCTAACAGTTCTGGTTATTCAGGTACAGACGGGGAAATTTCTATATCAATTCAGGTTGTTCAGGTACAGAGACAAATATTTCGTCGGCAAGCAATTGTTTTATGTTGTAAACATAACTGTAACACGGTAATCTCTTCTCTGAGCGTGTGAGGGGCGGAATTTAAACATAATGAAGACGAGCCGATCGCCTCCAAAATTATGGTGTGGCGGTAGAATTTTAAAGACTGACTGCAAATTGCCAGTTGTCTCTTGTGTTACTAAAGGTATAAACTGGCGCCTTCTTTCTTGACCGTCGTCCGGTGTTGCTGTTGTGATGTTTATCGTTGCATGACGTCATAGCTTTGCCGCTTTTTGGAAAGCGAACGACAAATTGACGTCAAATTTTTTTGTGGTCCAAAAGTTTCACCCATCATAAAAACACAACTGGTTACTTGTGCAAGAAGGATGTTTATCGAAATCTGCATGTAAAAAATGTTTGGTGCAGAATAATTTCATTCGGTTAAAACCTTGTTTTCATCATATTCCATTTCTCTTTTGTTGTCTACAGCGTGATCACTGAGTTTACGTCATGGCTGTTCGTTTCCGTTTGCCCCAATTGATGAGAGAAGCTGCCGCTGAGTTCGCTTCTACATTCATTTTGCTGGTGAGTGAGCAGCAAGTAGATTTTTAACTGATTCCCATAAGTGAAAAATTAAGACGTTCAGTCGATCTTATTGTAGCTCATGGCATAACTGACTCTTTTACATTGGAAAAGCGCAAACTTTAGTTCATCAATTTTATATTTATGCAGACGTTTGGAATAGCGTCAGTAGCTCAGATGGTTCTCAGCAAGTCGGAGTTTGGAAATTTTTTCTCCGTGAACTTCGGTTGGGGAATTGGTGTTATGCTCGGCTGCTATTGGGCTGGTGGAATTTCAGGTCAGTTGTGAAAAAGTGTCACCATCTTGAAAATAGTTTTCTGTTTCCTGGTCCGTTCATTTTGAAAAACCGAGCAATACTTTTTTTTATTTTCATAATTTTAAATCTCTTTCTTTCTCCGCTCTCCACAATTAGCCCCACTCATTTTTGCTTCATTCCTTTTTTTGTTTTTGGCGTGTTTCCAGCTTAGCTATGGGTCATTTCAGGGTTTTATGCAAGCAATTTCTTTTTCAAGACGCCAAAATGATCCCGACATGTTTTTCTAAAATAAAATGAAGTAGAATTGGATTTTAACAATCTCATAAGCACTTTACGAAGTTTATTCTCATGGTACATGATGGAACGCGAGGCAAGATTGTCGAGAAGCCGATTAACTGTAGTTACGATTAAAATTTTGTGGTAGCTTAAGTTTTATTTTCATTTTAAACTATACCAAAAAGTAGGATTACATCGGAAATCCAGAGTTGATTGGCAATAATCTTGCTTTTGAAGTAAAGTCTTCGCCACTGTGTTAATTGCCTTACTTTCATTGGAAACTGTTTACCATTCATAACTTTCTTGCGTAATCTTTTCCGTTGCAAATCTCATATTTTCAGTTCAACTCATGTGGTTACATTTATAAATGCGATAATTCTGATTATTTTTTCAGGCGCTCATATGAACCCTGCGGTCACATTGGCCTTTGCCGTCGTAAGAAGATTTCCATGGAAGAAAGTTCCCGTATACTGGGCGGCACAACTACTGGGCGCATTCGTGGCTTCGGCTTGTGTTTATGGAGTTTATTATGGTGGGTAATTATAGAATAAAAATGTTCTCAGTCAACGCTTGTGGGTCCAATGCCGACCCGCATAACAGTCTACCAGATATATTTTCCTCCAAAATGTTTCGAAAATTCATAAACTGGTAGTGCAAACAGTACTGCATACTCAGCAGACTTCGATTACGTTCGTTTCAAACCTGGTGTCTATAAAGAGTTTAATTGGAGTTATTTGTTCCTTACTATGAAAGAGATCTCAAAATATACAGCTCTGTCCATAAAAGATCCGCTTCTTTTCATGTTTTGTTGTTCTTTAACTTAATAAACAGGTCAGGTTCCAAAATCCATTAGTATTCAATATGAACTCCCTATCTTTTTGTTTCCGTGTGCATCATTTCGTTCCAAGGAAGGAAAAACTTGATAATTCCTTTTTAACTCGTGAATTGCGCGCATACAAGAGCGAGTTGTAGATATGATGCGGAGAATGGCACTCGCTCGCTCGCTCGCTCGGTTGGTCGATTCCTGTAAACTTTTTTTCGATTTTAACGAAATGGCGACCTTTGTTGCTAAGAATAGTGGTGGGGTGAAAAAGAAGCCAGTGATAATCTTAGAAGAGTTTAATTTTTTTCGTTTTAGTTTCAACGAGCGACGCCAGCGACTGGCAGGCGTGCGAGGATTCACACTGAAATAAGAGAACAACCTTCGTTTTTCATAAAATTGTAATTTACAATCCTTGAACTTGAAAGCAATCTGAAGATTCATTAAAAATATCACTTACTCCGAAGCGCTCGGAGTTTACAGCTGTTCAAAAGCTTTTCCTTTTCTGGCGTGAGATTGAGGACAAAATCGATCATTACATTTCGTATCGTGTGTAATATGACAATCAACCATAAAATTCCCTAAACCAGATAACATTAAACATAATCCAAAAAATCATGTAAGTCATCCGTCAATTCACGAGTTTGCTCACAGAGCACTTTGATTAGGAATGTTTACGACTAGTTCTAATGTCGCTATGACGAGGGGCTAACGCTTTAAACGTTAGACTCTTTACTGTTGCCAATTTATGTTAATAACTCGGTTGATAATACCCAGTTATTATGACGTCCCACTATTACGCGCAATTCTAATGAATCAGGACTACACATTTTTTTGCCTCATCTTATAGATGCCTTAAATGCATTTGATGGAGGTGTCCGTCGTGTACTGGGTGAGAAAGGAACTGCAGGGATCTGGGCAACATATCCTCAGAGTTATTTGTCAACTGGGAACGGCTTTGGTGACCAGGTAAACCAGGGCGAATCATTTGGCTGCCATGCTTAATAACTCCAAATTATCACGTTTGAGAGTCAAAAAGAAAGAGAAACAGATAGACAAACCGATGGACCAACTCACTCAGTCACGAATAGATGGGGGCTAGTCTATAAGGAGTGAATTATTGATATGACTGGAATAGATGGGGGTTAGCCTATATGGAGTGAGTTATTGATATAACTAGAATATATGGAGGCAGATACTGGCATAAGAATCGATGCACTGATTCCATTCCTGAATAACGAAAACAATTGCAAGACATGAAAGTTCATACCTACAGCTATATACAATGGAAGATCAGAAGAACAGGTAGATAGAAAGGTAGATAGACAGGCAGAAAATTACAACGAAAGAAAAAGGTTAATGAGAAGGTGGCTAGGTATTGGAATTGAGAAACTGCAGACGGTTCGACGTCCAGAAAACATGAGCCCGTGAACATAGATGGGCAGACAAAGCCGGACCAAACCGTAGGGTCAGTTAAAATTAGCATTGCGTCACTAACACGACTTAATGTTTTACTTAGGTGTTCGGCACGGCCTTGCTTGTTGGCTGTGTCTTTGCCATCATTGATAAGAACAATAACACTCCTGATAAGGGGGCGACACCTGTGATAATTGGGTTGACTGTGTTCGTCATTGGCGCTACGTTTGGATATAACTGCGGTTACGCTATTAATCCTGCCAGGGATCTGGGTCCGAGACTATTTACTGCTATGGCTGGCTGGGGCGCTGAAGTGTTTACGTAAGTATTTTATCCAACCAGCCTCAGAGGCCGAACTCCATGAATCCATACTTTAAACAAACCCTTAGCCTGTTCGTCTAATGCATCGTTGCAGATCGCGCCTAATAGTAGGATTCCTAAGGTTAGAAAGGAATTATCAACCGAACAAAACATTCTCGATAATGACAATGTTTTTTTCATCTCTTTCAGTGCGGGCGACCATTGGTTCTGGGTGCCAATCGTGGGATGCTTCTTAGGTGCAGTTCTGGGTGCACTCGCTTACATCGGTCTGATTGAGATGCATCATCCCGAAGACGATCCAAGCAAGCCCGGAGTGGAACTCGAAAACATTACCATCAAAAGTAACCATGAGTAACCGAGGACACCTACCCGATGGACATTGTGAAAAAAAAAATAATCGTTGGCTTTTTATATAAGATAAATACATATCATGTTCACTTTGTATTTAAGTTACTAAGGATGCGCACTAGCACCGCTGGATATCTATTGAAATATTCTCGACAAGATCCACTTTCTGCATCTTACTCCTTTCGTTAGTTAAAACGGTGACCGTTTTTACATAGCTTTGAGATGAACGTTTCCAACGCTAATATGAACCTCTTTTTACATATAAAATTTTAATGAGCCAAAAAATTCAATCTTATGAACCAATGCCATAAGGTCAGAGATAAAAAAGACCCTCTACTTAGCATCTTACCATGTATGGACACGGTGGATGATATACTGACCTAGCATTCTACAAGTAAAGAGGGTGTCCACCATAATAGGGACTTTGCTGAAGCAATAAGTCTTTCCCCCTAGACGAACATTTCTATTAAGTGCAATGTGAGCTTGTGCATCGAAGTAAACTTGGGTATATTACATTTTCATCGTCAAAAGTCGTTTTTGTAAAGTTACAGTGTAAAACAAAGTTCCCTTTTCATAGGGCTTTCTTCTCTTCAAACATTCCTGTCAAGTCCACCGGTCCGAACCCAAACTATAGTAGAGAAAAATGGCGAAAAAAGTAAAAAGGCTACGAGCCCAATTCTAAACCTAAAGAAATGAAAATCTGGTTAAAGTCTTTTGCAAATATTTTCGCATACACAGCGTAGGGAGGAAAGGCTTCTCTTTTTTTTTCCTGTGACGTTTTCATTCGATAAACAACAGATCAAACAATGTAGCGCTGGAAGATTTATTAAAAAAAGCAGTATATCGCAACGATTTGTTAAGTTGATTTTTTTTCTTCAAAAAATTGCGAGGCACTTCTTTCATTTCTAGCAAATTCTAATTAATTAGTTATAAACGTCTTTTAAAGGATGATATATGTCATAATTAAAAATTCACTGAAGCGTGACTAAGTCGGAACATCGAGTGCCATGATTTCATTTTAAAAATCACTGGAATGTACTCTTTGCATGCAGCGGCTCTATCAACTTCATTAATCCAATGCAAAGCCAAGATGCAGAGTAAGAATACACAATTACAAAAGCCAAAATAATTTTTTTTTTCCGAATCTGAAGCGGTCACGTTAAATACACAGCAACAACTCATCAAATAGTTACAGTTGAGATGTCTTTTCAACCACACTCATCGTAGGTCCCTGGCAAGTAAGTTGACGCATACCATCCTCAGTAAAGGCCATGTTTCCCATACCCAGACCATTTTCTTGAGTCCTAGACCTTGTAAACTCGGGATTAGTTGAAAAGACTGACTGAAGTTCGTAACCAGTCTCCCCATCATCTCCTGGAACGTGGTGTATTTCGATAAGAACAATGTATACCAGGGCACCCAGGACTCCGCCCAACATGCATCCCACGACTGGAACCCACGACCAATTGTTAGCCGCACTGCAATAAAAATTTTTATTATTTATTCAAGGAATCAGTAATGATGAGACTCTAATATCGAGGTCATCGTCTCGCTATTTAAATCAATTTTCATGTTCATGGAAGTAACTACTGCTATGAGCAATAACACACAAGAGCAGAGAAAAGAAAAGAAAGAAACGAGAACAAAAAACTTCGAAGATTACCCTTAACCTGGGAAAGTGTTTTCTATAACATTTTAAAGCTAAAAATAAACAACTAGTAATGTCAATGTTACTGAATTAATGACGAAAGTTGTCCCTAAAAAAAAAAAACAATAGGCACATGTAAGAGTGAGGACATCCCTAGAGATCGTGTGGTATACATTTAAAACCGCTCAACGCGGCTCCGAATTTCTTCCCTTGAATCTCCGATGATGGAATTTGAACATAAACGTGATACTCACGTGAATACTCCACTGCCCCATCCAGCCACTGCTGTAAATAACCTTGGTCCCAGATCCCTCGCAGGATTGATAGCGTAACCACAATTGAACCCGAAAGTGGCGCCGATCACAAATACGAGCAGACCTATCATGACTGGTGCCACGCCTTGGTCGGGAGCATTATTGTTCTTATCGACGATGGCGAAGACGCACCCGACCAACAGGGCTGTGGCAAACACCTAACAAAGTTGAATGAAGAATAGGTAATAGTATTAGCAGGGTGTGAAATTTTTTTTTTTTTTCTGATAGCCACTTGGCTCCTAAATTTTTCAAAGTGGCAGCCAATACAAAAAAAGGTTGGTCGCCATTTTTTAAAGACAAACAAAACCTTTTTTTTTTTTAACGCTGTCAGCATTCTAGATAGACCCTCCAAAATTAAGTTCTACAAAGTTCTACACAGTTGACACTAGGATAGGTGATATACAACGTTCAAGCTCACCTAAATCCAAGATGGCGTCTAATTATCGATCAAGATGCATGTGCTGCGTTTTGGAAATTAAACAAACTTAACGAGGAAGTTTGCCGCGGATTTCTCTTTGCAAATCTTTTTAATTCACTATATCTCTAGGTATAATTATGATGAAGCATTCTAGTCACCAATTTGGCGACTACTTTTCGGATTTGGTCGCCAAAGTGAAAAATTTAGTCGCACTGGCGCCTGTATTAGGCGCAATTTCACGCCTTGATTAGTGGACTTTTTTTTAGTATAGTTTCAATTAAGTGACGTAACGCGAATGAGACGGGAATTTTTGGGAGAAATTAGATGTCGATCATGTTCAGAGGTTAAAGGGTTAACGTAAGATATGGAATTTACCTGGTCTCCTAGTCCATTCCATGTAGACAAGAAAGACTGGGGATAGGTTGCCCAGATCCCTGCAGTTCCACTATCACCCAATATCTGTCGTACTCCTCCATCAAACGCATTCAATGCATCTATGAAGTCACAAATGGTCAGCCGTAGAAATAGTAATATGGACAAATAGCCAACCCGGCAATCAAAAACAAACAAACAAACTATGATCTAAGAAGATACTTAGTTATGCCTTAGGTCAAGTCTATGACTCCTGGTTTTATGATTCTTTAATACAAAAGATAAAAAAAATGTGAAATGAAAAACTTTTCACCCGAATTGGGGAAAACGATGGATCAAGACGATTGACTATTCTGTGAGTCAAATATTTTGTATTTAAAGTTCATGAGAACCACGAAAACGCTTTAAATATGATCTAAAGCTATTTGAAATAATCATAATGAGTACTATTAGTGGTCCTTGCAAGTAACCCACCATAATAAACTCCATAAACACAAGCCGAAGCGACGAAAGCTCCCAACATCTGTGCCATCCAATATACGGGAACCTTCTTCCATGGAAGTCTCCCGACGACGGCAAAGGCCAATGTGACCGCGGGGTTCATGTGAGCTCCTGCAAACGATCATTACACGTTAATTAATCATGCCTTTGGAAACGTGGTCCAACACGGGCAAGAGAGCCTAGCAAATGAGTGATCGTCTCTAAATTGAATAAACATTGGAATAATTCTTTGCTTGGTCCGATAAGCTCGGAAGGTCAGAGGTACTAAAACGAACGATGATGGCTAGGGTTTTCGAAGATTGAAAAGGGGTGTAAAATGACGAAATTAGAAAGAAATTAAAAGTCAGTGCGAATAAAATGGTTTGGGTTTTCGTGTTGGTGAAAGACAGGTGTAGGAGTAAAGAGCCAGGGTGTCCTTGTAAAAGACCTTGTCTTCCAAGGAAGACTAGCTGGAAACCTGTTTTGCACAATCGCCATGATATAGTCTGAGTACGCCAAGTCTTTCTTAGTCACTGATACCTACTAAAAAGGTAAACCCAAATGGCACACCTGAAATCCCACCGGCCCAGTAGCAGCCAAGCGTTACGCCAATTCCCCAACCAAAGTTGACAGAGAAGAAAGTTCCAAACTTCCCCTTACTGAGAACCATCTGCGCCACTGATCCAATTCCAAAAGTCTGTAAAATAGAATTCTGTTTATTTCCAAAAGCAGTGATCAATCAAGACTATCAACAGTATAAAAATTTTGTGAGTGGCTAAGAAGAGGGAAAACTTTACCCTCCTTTTCAGAACGCCGGCTTTATTGAAATAACAGATATTGTTGAAATGGTAAGATCTTTCACTATATTTGCTTCATGCAACACTCACCAGTAAGATGAAGGTAGCAGCGAACTCAGCTGCAGCTTCTCTCATCAAGGATGGAAAACGAAAGCGAAACGTCATGACTTCCTAAGGGAGATCACCCCGCGACCTAATTTCGAAAACATTAAAAATTGCAAATATTGACTAAAAGTTACTTCATTATGTCACACGAGGGAGACAAAATACGAAAAATTCAATCTATGATACTAGCACTCGTCGTTTGATAGGTTAATTCTTCTTTATTCTCTTTCTTCACAAATTAATACAACGGGGACTTGAGATCGGTCAGAACCGAAACGAGATCGATAATATAAAAATTACAAGTAACCTTGGGTCAGAGTATTGTTTATACCTGTAAGGGTATCTGAAGAGAAAATCACCTTTAAAGATTGTTACATAACAACATCTGGGTCACAAGAGTTAAAGAAGAAAGGCGCTCACAAGTACCGCCCCCAAGTTGCTTTTAGTTGCGAAACATGAGGGGTATCACTGTTTACACCTTAAATTACCTCTGGGGACAAGAAGGTGTCGAACGCGACCTATTACCAGGGAGATTTATTCTTCCTGGACTAACAAATTAACTTAATTAAGAACATGGCTTATCACGAGTTCCATGTCAACCTCACGATCACAACGAGGAAAACGGGATTAAACTCACGAGGAGAACGTGATTAAACTCACAAGAAGAACGTGACCAAACTCAAACTTTAAGATAAGACCACCAAGAAGGAGTAAGAAGTAATCAACCTGCCCTTTTTATAATTTGCATAAAATGACTTAAAATAATATAATATTTCCATTCCTTTTTCCGAAATCAATACAAGGAAACCCTTACGATATTGTAGATTAACTATAATTGTAGTTCCTGTCTTGCCACAGTTGTACGATGTTATGCTAAATTCCTCTTCACGACTCATAAAAAAATGTGGCATGGTATTTTATAATAATCTCCAATTATATTGAAAATAATTTTGTACAGCTGCTGTGAGCAGTAGATTTGTACATTTTATCTTATGGGAAACTATACAGTGGAGCCTGTAGAACCACTTGATTATAACCCTTGTTTCTATCAACCCATGAGGAAAACTGTAACTAACAGATGTCAAAATATTTTCATACCCATCTGGCCCAGGACAACTTATACTTGTGATACATTGAAAACCATTTCAGTTCACCACTCATGGTAATTTATTAGGTGGCAAGACACCATTGAAAGAATCAGACCAAAATATTAGACAATTTAAAAACTCATAGAAGTGACTGATTCATGTAACTTCTCCAAACACTATCCAGCAAACAGATAATGTTAATACTGAAACTTATCAGGCATAAGTTATCTTGATCTTACATCAAATTCTCATAACTTATTTACAAGTAAATGTGTAGCAACTAGTAGGGAGAATTGACAATCAGATCTTGGGTATTTAAGGGTTAACGGAAGAGAACAGAAATGCTTCCTCTCAGCCACCGATCTCAACAATGCTAGTCCTTTACACATTTAAGTTTCTGTCAGTGATAAACATTCAGTAAATTGATATTCCCATTCTTAGCACTCAGAGGCCTTCTGACACAAAGGTTTGCTATACTAGTTCTTACTACATTGTGCTAACCAATGTTATGATATAATTTTGAGACGTAAAGATGATACTTAAAAGATTGAGAAATATATCCAAATCAAGATATTTATTTTATCTTGTTATAGTTACCATAAGATTTGTTTGAAAGAGAATCTTTCAGACCATTGAAATGTATGAGAAATTATTTTTTGCGAGACTTCTATCAAACTTTTTATTATGAGGACAATTTTGTGAATAATAAAATTTAGTGTCATAGTTCATCTTTGTGTCGAGAACTCTTTTAGTTGGTGAAACTCACTTTTTCTTTTTTTCAATTTGAAGCATCAAATTGATTGATACATAAAGCACACAAAATATTTTTTGAGAGTTCCATGTGGCATCCATAGTGGATTACTATGCTATCATAAAAAACAAAAACAACAACCACTGAAAACTGCTTTTGTCACAATTGCTACCAAATTTGAGTCAGTTTTCTGGATCTGCCATAATAAGTGAAAACTCTGAAGATACAGTGTCTTGGTTATTTTATTAA